TTTTTCTTTCTACCTTTAAGGTCCTATCTTTATCCTTGACCTTTGGGAGTTTGATTATTAAATGCCTTGAGGTAGTCTTCTTTGAGTTAAATCTGCTTCATGTTTTATAACTTTCTTGCACTTGAATATTTATATATGTTTCTAGTTTCAAGATGTTCTCTGTTATTATTTCTCTGAATAAACTTTGTACCCCAATCTCTTTCTCTGCCTCCTCTTTAAGGTCAATAACACTTAAATTTCCCTTTTGAAGCTATTTCCTAGATCTCATAGGTGTACTTAATTCTTTTTCTTTTTCTTTTTGTATCCTTTGACCATGTAGTTTTAAGCAGCTTGTCTTTAAGCTTACTAATTATTTGTTCTGCTAGATCACTTTTGCTGGTAAGAGATTCTGATGTATTCTTCAGTATCTCAATTGCATTTTTCAGCTCGGGAATTTCTGCTGGATTCTTTGTAATTATTTTAATCTCTTGTTAAACGTGTCTGATAAAATTCTGAATTTCTTCTCTGTGTTGTTTTGAATTTCACTGAGCTTCCTTAAAACAGCTACTTGGAATTCTCTGAAAAGGTATATCTCTTTCTCTCCAGGACTGCTCCTTGGTGCTTTATTTAGTTCATTTGGTGAAGTCATATTTTCCAGGATGACCTTGATGCTTGTGGATGATGGCAAGGCTCTGGGCATTGGAAAGTTAGTAATGCATTGCAGTCTTCACAGTCTGGGCTTGTTTGTACCCATCCTTCTTGGGAAGGCTTTTCAGGTATTTAATGGACTTGGGTGTTGTAATCCAAAAATTTTTGGTTTATGAAGTCACATCTGCATTAGGAGGCACCCCAAGCCCAGTGATGCTATAGCTCTTGCAGACATGTAGAGATATCATCTTAGTGATCTTGTATAATATCCAAAAGAATACCCTGAATTATCATGCAGTGACTTGCTCTCTTATTTCACTTTCTTCTAAACAGAAAATAAAAATCTCTCTTTCTGTCCTGAGATGGCTGGAAATAGGGAAAGAGTGACATAACCACACCTGTGGCCACCACCATAAGGACTGTGCTGGGTCAGACCTGAAGCCAGCACAGTACTTGATCTCACTCCAGGCCCACAGTTACCACTTCCTGGCTACCACCTATCTTCACTCAAGATCCTAGTGCTTTACAATCAGCAGGTGGCAAAAGCAGCCAGAGTTTTATGCTTCCCTTCATGTGGTTGAGTTCCCCTTGGCTCCAGTTAAGTCCATAGATGGTATACTGGAACCACTGCCTACCTAGAGATGGAAATCTTAGGAGTCTACCTAGTATGCTGTACTATTGCTGCTGAACTAGCATGAAGCCACAACACAAAGTTTTTTCGACTCTTCTCTCCCTTTCCACAAGCAGAGGAGTCTCTCCCTATGGCCATTACCACCCATGCCCATGGAAAGTACTGCCTGGTTACCACTGATGTTGATTCAACATCCAAGGGCTCTTCAGTCAGCTTGCGGTGAATGCTGCCAGACATGGGACTCTCCCTTAAGGCCAATTGGCTTTCTTCCAGACAAGAGCAAGTCCAGATATGCCATCCAAGAGCCAAAGCCTGGAATTAGGGATGCCAACAGCTCACTGGATGCTCCACCCCATATGTCCAAGCTGATACCTAGGCTGTAAGACAAAGTTCCCTTTATTCTTCCTTCTCTTTTTCTCAAGCTGAAGGAGTTTCTCTTTGTAACCACTACATCTGGGAATCTGTTGAAACACACCCAAAGCCATAAGGTCTCTGAGTCCCATCCAGGGCCCACAGCATGTATTGCCTGGGTGTTGCTGCTGATTATTCAGCGTACAAGGACTCTTTAGTCAGCAGGTGATGAATCCTGTCATGACTGCATCTTTCTATTTAACGTAGCAGGTTCCCTTCTAGCCCAGGATGTTTTTAGACATGTTGTCTGGGAGCTAGGGTCTGGAATGCAGGCCTCTTGGCTCTACCTGTGCCCTATTCTACTGTGGCTAAGTTGGCATTCAAGTTCCAAGACAAAGTCTCCTTTACGATTTCCTCCGCTTTTCTCAAGCAGAGAGAAGGAATATCTCCCAGATCTGTGAGCTCCTCTGCCTAAGGTTGGGAAAGGGGTGATGCAGGCACTCCTGTGGTCACCCCAACTGATGTCTCACAGGGCCACATGCCCCCCACGTCCATTGGCTTCAAGCCCAGCACAGCACCAGAACTTGCCCAAGAATTGCAGTCCTTGTGGCCAAGGCTGGCTTTCAAATTTACTTAGAACCTCAGGGCACTTCAGCCTGCACTAGCAAGGCTTACCGGATGTCACGTTCCAGCCACTGAGATGGGTGATCTCCCTCTTGCTAGGGCTAGTCTAAATGCTTCTCCATGGGCACCAGCTGAGTTCTGCTGGGGTTGCTTTCCCCCAAGACAAGGCAGCACTGAGTTCCTATACAAAGTCCAGCCATCAGCCACATCTTTCTTTCTGAAGCTCGCAGATTCTCGCTCCACACCACATGCTTGCTTCTGGGGAATGGAGGCCGCAAATGAAGACTTTCTTTCTTACCACGTCAATGTTTCTTTCTGTGATATGACACTAAAGCCAGGTGCTGTGATTGCAAACCTGATTTTGGTTCTTATGAAGGTACTTTTCATGTGTGGATAGTGGTTCCCTTTGGTGTGCCTGAGTAGAGGGAGATCAATGAAAGCTTCTATTCAGCCACCTTGCTCTCCTTCTAGCTCCTATCTTTATTTTTTATTTCTCTGATACTCTTTCATTATACAGATCTGTGTTTCTGACCTACATAATTTTCTTTCTCCTTAAAGAACTTTCTCTTCTTTCTTGGAAAGAAAGAAGGTCTTTTGGCAATGAATTCTCTTAGTTTATGTTTATTCACAAAAGTCTTTATTTCTCATTAACTTTTCATGAATAACTTTACTGAATGTAAAATTATAGATTGGTGAGTTTTTTCACCTTTTTTAACAATAGTATAAATATTTTAATCAAGTCTCTTTTGCTTACATAATTTGTGACAAGAACCCCTCTGTAATTCTTATTCTTGTTCCTCTAGAAGTAAGTTGTCCCCCACTCTAACCCCTGCTGTCCTCCTGGTTTATTTCAATTGTACTCTTTGCCTTTGCTTTTTTTTTTTTTCTTTTCGTTTTTTTTTTTTTTTTTTTTTTTTGAGATGGAGTTCTGCCACCACCCAGACTGGAGTGCAGTGGTGCTATCTCAGCTCACTGCAACTTCTGCCTCTCGAGTTCAAGCAATTCTCCTGCCTCAGCCTCCTGAGTAGCTGGCAGTATAGGCATGTGTACCACACCCAGCTAATTTTTTTCTGTATTTTTAGTATAGATGAGTTTTCATTATGTTGTACAGGCTGGTCTCAAACTCAAGTGATTTGCCTGCCTCAGTCTCCCAAAGTGCTGGGTTTAAAGGTGTGCACCACCACGCCTGGTTAATTGTTGTATTTTTAGTAGAGAAGAGGTTTCACCGTGTTGGCCAGGCTAGTCTCAAACTTCTGACCTCAAGGGATCTGCCCACCTTGGCCTCCCAAAGTGCTGGGATTACAGGCATGAGCCACCATGCCTGCCTGCCTTTGTTTTTCTGCAGTTTGAATATAATATACCTAGATATAAATTTTTTGGTATCTACACTGCATGGTATTCTCTCCACTCCTTCAGTCTCTCTCAGTCTCTCCCCTCTCTCTCTCATCCCCCCCGTGTGTGTGTTCATGCATGTGTGTGTGTGTGTGTGCATGCATGTGTGTGTGTGTGCATGTGCATGTGTGTGTGAATGTGCATGTGTGTGTGAATGTGTGTGCTTTACATTTTCAAATGTTCTTGGTCATTATGACTTCAAACACTTCTGTTCACTATCTTCTTCTGGCATTTCAGTTAGACATATGTTATACCTTTTAAAATTTCTGCACAATTCTTGGATGTTCTGTTCTGTTTTGTATTATGTCTTCTTTCTTACCATTTGCCTTTTAGTTTGGTAGTTTCTACCAACCTGTTTCAAGTTTACTAAGTCTTTCTTTGGTGATGTTCAGTCTACAGGAGAACTCATTAAAAAATTCTTCATTTATGATAAAGTGGATTTTTTTTAAATTTCTAACACTGTCTTTTAACTATTTCTTATTTTCAATTTCTGCTAACACTACCATACTGTTACTTTATATTGTCTACCTTTACCAATAAGCCTCAGCACATTAATCAGAGTTGTTTTAATAGTCTATCTGATCATTCCAACATCTGTGTCAGGTTTAAGTTTGATTCTGATAACTGCTTTCACTTCACACACGTTATATGTTTTTCCTGTCATTAGGCATGACTTTTGCCTTTTTATTGAAAGCAAAACTTGATGTACCAGCTATTAGGAACCAAAGTTAATTGGCCCTTAGTGTGAGGATTTATGGCTAAGAATTTAACTATGTTTAATTTTTATTTTAGTTGAGGTATTAGAGCCTTCCAGTGTTCTTGTTTTTGTCCTTCTTCTTGATGTTAGGTTTCCCTAAATATTTATCCTCAGATAGTGTGTCTTGAAGCTCATTCAGCAGGCATCTACTGTGAATATACTGAAGTCCTATTGGTGTGGTGGTAAGCTGGAGAGAAAAAGGGTTCTATAATCTTTTGATTAACTCTTACTGTTTTAGTACACCAGTATTCCTGGCCTGTGACCTTTGCACATGTTTCTTGACCTTGTTTACATCCTTATATGAGATAGCATGTCTCCAGGGATCTGGAGTAGGAGACATGCTGTTTGTCTAGGTGAGATAAGGTTTCAGTAAAGTTTTGTAACCTAGGGAATGGGCATTCATTATGGACAATACTCTGAATAATTCCCAAGAACTGGCCTTCACCTCCCCCTCCTAGAATTACAAGGGAGTCTGTCTGGCTTCTTCACTATGAGAACCTGGCTGGGTTCCTGTTGCCAAAACTTAGAAAAGTCTCGCGCTCTTCCTAACACAGTAGCCCTCAGTAAATTTCTCATTCTCACAATAGACCAAAAAAAAATTTTTCCCCCCACAGGAAAGCCTGTTTTTGTTTTTATTGGAGGCTCAGGTGGCATATGACAGATCATAAAATGGCTTCAGAGGTAGGGGGGCAGGGGGGAAACAAAAATAAACTGGGGGGGAACAAAACAAGCAGGAGGAGGTAAGAGCTGGCTGGTTCCTTCTCAGCCCGAGTTAGGGGAAGGAGTTGGTATCTCTGAACAGTAAGGATGGATCCCTTCCTTCCACCCTTGATAAGGGGAGGGAAGAGGGAAAAAAAAGCAAAAGGCTGTTGCTTTGACCCTCCTGAGACTCAAGAAAAAGGTGAAAAGCTGGTATCTTGATGCCATGAATCATGGGAAGGGGGGAACAGGGTACTGAGTAGGGTACAGGTCAGTTGGAAAAACTGGCAGATACCAGATGGCAGCTCTGGTTGTCCTTTGAGTTGGAATCACTCCAGGATGGTAGAGGTGAGGTCCCCACTATTGATAGAGCCTGAGGTCTCAGGGGCTGCGGGCTGCCGGGGGCCAGGAGGCTGCTGCCGCCTCCACTGGAAAAACGGGCGGTTTCGCGGGCGCTGAGACTCAGGTCGGGAACCATCCGCGGAACCTTGACTGGGCTTGGTCTCACCATCCCCACCTTCCGTGGTGGGCTGCTGGGGTGGCCTGGGGCGGAAAGGCCTTCGGTACCTGGGCCGGAACCGGGGCGGGGGGACAGGCTCATCTCCCTGGTGTTGGTGCCCCTCCAGTGGGGCTGTCTCTTTGGGTTCTCTCTCATCAGTGCCCTCTATAGGCTGCTGCTGGTTGAGGGGCCGAGGGCCTCTCACGAACCGCCTTCGGTAGAAGAAGGGTGGTGGGCGCCGTCGTCTGGGCCGCTGCCCAGAGTCCTCAGCCCGTTCCCCTTCGCTGCCAGGTTCTGTCCCCGCCGAGGGAACCTCTGCAACCATGGGTGGTGGGGCAGCTGGGCGCGGCCGAGGGATGAATCGGCGGAACCTACGTCGGTTGGGGGCATAACAGCTGCCCTTCACGGGCACCCCCCCAGGCCCAGTTACATTCGCGGCTTCTGGACCCTTCTCTCCTCCCACGACATCAAATTCCACAGTCTCCCCATCTCCAACGCTGCGCAGAAACTTCCTGGGGTTGTTTCTTTTAATAGCTGTCTGGTGAACAAAGACGTCTTCCTTGGTGTCATTCCTGCTGATGAATCCGTAACCATTCCGGACGTTGAACCATTTGACAGTGCCCAGGACTCGGATTGCCAGCACCGGCTTGTCCGCCTGATTCCGTGCCGGGGGCGTGGGGGTTCCCGAGGCCGCGGTCCCCGGGTTGCCAGGGGTGCGGGGACTCGGCGCCGAGGGGGTCCCAGCAGCGGGGCCCGAGGCGGCTCCGCCCCCGCCGCCGCCGCCGCTTGCTTTCTGCGGCTCCCCCGCGAGTACCGGTACCACCACCGCTACCACCCCTGCCGCCGTCGCGGGCACCGTCGCAGCGGGGGCCGCTGTCACCACCGCTGCCGCCTCCACCTCGCTCATCCCGCCGGGTCCAGTACCGGCCCCCGCCTCCGCCGCCGCCGCGCCAGCCCTTCCCCCCGGCTTGCGAACCCGCCGCCCCGCTAGGTCCTCGCGCCCCAGCCTCGCCCGCACACAGAAGAGGAACTGATACGAACTAGGGAGGAAGAGGCCCCTGCTGAGTCTGAGAGCCTCCCGAAGGACGACTCTGAGAGGGAGGATGAGGATGGTGAGCCACAGGAAGCTGAGAAAGATGCAGAAAAGTCACTCCATGAATGGCAAGATATCGATTTGGAGGAGCTGGAAACTCTGGAGAGCAACCTCTTAGAACAACTGAATTCACTGAAAGCTCTAAAACAGCAGCAAGAACGGATCGCTGCTACTGTCACCGGACAGATGTTCCCGGAAAGCCGGAAACTCCTGCGCCTGTTCGGCATTCCCTACATCCAGGCTCCTATGAAAGCAGAGGCACAGTGTGCCATCCTGGACCTGACTGATCAGACTTCTGGAACCATCACTGATGACAGTGATATCTGGCTGTTTGGAGCACGGCATGTCTTTAAAAACTTTTTTAATAAAAACAAGTTTGTAGAATATCACCAATATGTGGACTTTCACAATCAATTAGGATTGGACCGGAATGAGTTAATAAATTTGGCCTATTTGATTGGAAGTGATTATACTGAAGGAATACCAACTGTGGGTTGTGTAACCGCCATGGAAATTCTCAGTGAATTTCCCGGGCATGGCCCGGAACCTCTCCTAAAATTCTCGGAATGGTGGCATGAAGCTCAAAACAATCCAAAGATAAGGCCAAATCCTCATGACACCAAAGTGAAAAAAAAAAAAAAAAAATTACTGACATTGCAACTCACCGCTGGCTTTCCTAATCCAGCTATTGCCGAGGCCTACCTCAAACCTGTGGTGGATGACTCGCGGGGATCATTTCTGTGGGGGAAACCTGATCTCTACAAAATTAGGGAATTTTGTCAGCGGTATTTCTGCTGGAACAGAACGAAGACAGATGAATCTCTGTTTCCTGTATTAAAGCAACTCAATGCCCAGCAGACAGAGCTCTGAATTGACTCCTTCTTTAGACTAGCACAACAGGAGAAAGAAGATGCTTAGCCTATTATGAGCCAGAGACTAAACAGAGCTGTGACATGTATGCTCAGGAAAGAGAGAGAAGCAGCAGCCAGTGAAATAGAAGCAGTTTCTGTTGCTATGGAGAAAGAATTTGAGATACTTGATAAGGCAAAAGGAAAAACCCAGAAAAGAGGCGTAACAAATACATCGAAAGAGTCATCAAGCCTGAAAAGAAAGAGGCTTTCAGATTCTAAAGGAAAGAATCTACGTGGTGGATTTTTGGGGGAGACCTGCCTCTCAGAATCATCTGATGCATCTTCAAGTGAGGATGCTGAAAGTTCATCTTTAGTGAATATACAAAGGAGAAAAGCAGTGAAAGAGCCAAAATTCAATGCTTCAGCTTCGCAGAACTCACTGAAGGAAGCTCCTGTGAAGTATGGCCTTGCGACCACCAGCAGCTCTAGTGATGACAATGGAGAGGAAGAGAAGACAGTCCTCGTGACTGCCGCATCTGTGTTTGGGAAGAAAAGAGGGAAACTGAGACGTCTAAGAGGAAGAAAAAGAAAAACTTAATTTAAAAATATGTGTCTTCTATAATTAGGTATGACAGCATTTGTAATGAATTTGTTAAGACATAATAAAATTAACTGTATTTGCACAGTCAAAAAAAATCAAATTGCTATTTGATGTTTTTTAACAGCCTATGGCTCCAGCATCTTCTGGTCCTGATAAGCAAATCTCAGCTATCACTCAAAATTTGCCTGACTAGTTACATTTCAGGGTGGTGGTTTGTCATGCAACCCCAGCTCTCTGACAAGTCCAACAAAAGTAGTTTAGTATCAGTTTTTAAGCTTTTTCTTTTAAGAATATGAATAATGAATTTCAAGCTCTAAACATGTTGAAATTGTGCAGTATATGAATTACATCTCAATTAAACTATGAAACATACTAAAAAATATGATAAACAGAAAACAGTTACAAATATGGAGGATCATTCTAATTATATCAATAATCTTAAATAGCAACAATTGTTATTTTATTATGTTTATTTATTTTTTAATGATTAAATATTCCCTCACAAGCCATACTGATTTTCCATTCACAGTGATAACACGAAGTTTACTCTTTTAATGAAAACACTTAAATAAGACGTCAGTAAAGTAGGAGGAAGGTAATTTAGATAGCGTCATAAAGACTGTGCATACTTTACCAAGTTTGGGACACCCTAATTCATATCAAAACAGCCTCCTCCCATCAGACCGGCCTTGCAATATGGCCATTCTGGAACATTTCCCATAATCCTGTCCACTTAGAACAGCTATTCAGAAACCAGGACAATCAGCTGGAAAGTTTAGCCTCCTCTGAGCTGAGAAGGCAGTTCCATAATTCACCCAGTGTCAATGCAAGGTTGTCTCATATCTGCCAAAGGTTGTCTCATATTGCCAGGGCTTCCTGTGGCAGCCAGGCCTGGAGGTCGCTCCAGGGGTCATGAAAGCATAGGTTAATAAGATTGAGGCTTCCTTTGCTTTTCTCTGTTAAAGTTCCCCCATCGCATGCCTGAAGGTTGAAGCCATCAGCAGCAGCACAATTTTCAAAGCTTGACTTTAAAGCCCCAGTGCCAGATAAAAACATCTTCCCAGTGGGCTGAGATCTCAGCAGTAAGTATTCAGAACAGAAGATAACTTCTGGCATTTTGAATATTTTGTTCTCCCACATACAAAGTGGGAAATCATACAGGGTCTAATAAGAAGTATGAATCTACTAAGCTGAGATATGTTTATGTAGAATTTTATATTTTGTCAATGAGAAATGTCTTTGTTTTACATTAATAAAAACTGAAGTACTTAGAAAACGATTATGTTAGAAATGTGGATGTCAAGGGTATAGCATTCCAGGACAGCACTAAGTTCAGACGATATCACTGCACTGAAGGAACTCCACCATTAGGAATTCAACTACGGCCATGGTAGGACTGGGTAAGTAATTTTTCCCAGGATGCATTAATTCAAGGCCACAGGAGAATTGTGCACTGAGCCACGATCTAAGGATAAAGAAATGTTGGTTGTAATGAGAGTTTCAAAGCTGAAGACTTGGGACCAATGGAGAAACTGCTGACTGAAGAAGCTCAGATGGGACTCGATGGGTTGTATGTGGGCAGTGGGTTAAGGAGGAGCTGCAAAGAGTTAACGAGTGGTAAGCAATTACAAGCAACAGGTCATGTGGGAGTTTCTACAGTAGTGGATTACAGGCTTTGGAAATACACGGTTTTAAATCCAGCAGGAAAGCACGGATTTGAATCTTGGTTTTACCTTCTCACAGTGGTCTGAAGTTAAACACTCCCAGGGAGTGAAACTAAGTCAATGTCACTGAAATTATTGGGTATATTGGATTTCACTACCAGATTTTTCTCACAAGACCCTCATTTGTGGGAGCTAGACCCCACCCAAGTCTGCTTTATGTAATCCTCTATCCCTCTTGTGAGCCGCTTTCTCAAAGTCTCCGATGTCTAAATTGATCTGGAGTTTTACAACTTACTGCAGAAGTCAGGCAAGAAGGAGCCACCTGAGAAAGATAGCTACTCTCCAGCTCTGTTGCCCCTACCTTTAATCTCCATCATTTTTACTGTAAGGAGAAAAATATGATATCCTAGTTATTTTCAAACCCAAGCACATTTTTAAGCACAGCTCACCCAGAAATTCAAACCTTCAAGAATACACAAATTAATAAAATTTGTCTGTATCTACTCTTATTCTTTGGAATGTTTGTAGGGAAGAAAATTAATTTTCCTAACTTATGAAAAATTCCCATCTGTATTTTCTGCATATAAGAGTGAAGATAAGCTACCATTTGCTAAGGATGCACTGCATAACATAGTTTTATGTGAATCACATGTATTTTCTCATATAAACTTTATAACTCTCTAGGCAGATTCAGAGACGTGAAGCACCTTACTCAGTTACACAGCCACTACATGATAGAGACAACAGTGCAACCTACCTAGTTAAACCAGACACAGGATCATTTCCTTGTGCTGCCTGTCTGCAGCCAGAGGCATCGGTTCTTGAAATGCACCACTATTTATACTGGAAAGGCTCCCTGTCCATGCTGCCAGAATAGGACCACACTCAATTACATTTCCAGTCAAACTGCCATAAGCTGTTCTGCTGTACAAACTGAACAACAGCCAGGTGCTCAAGAATTACAGATGGTAGTCATTTCACCAACAGCTTTGACCACCTCCCAGCAAAGCATTTATCTTCCACTCCTCAAATGCCAAATGTACACCCCAGTTGTCTTTTGTAACTTGAATCCACATTATTGCTTCCTGAGCAGAGAGACAGGACAGAGACTCACATTTGTGCAAATAACAGAGGTGTAAGGAATCCCAGCATATCTTGGGATCTACAAGTTGCCCTGCATTACTGGAGCAAAGAGTAATGCTTGTTCAATTGTTAAGTTATTTTGACATTATCTGGACACCACCACCACCTGCTCCATAAAAGCTCCATGCGATTAGGCACCTTACATATGTATTTAGGGCTACCCTCTCCCCACCCTGTTTTCTGACCTATAATAAAGCCTGCTATATAGAAAGTGTTCAGTCAAACCATACAATGAATAAACAAAAAAGCACCAGGACAATGGTGGGCAACATAGTGGATGACAATAAAGATTATAGTTCTTAGAGTTTTGATTAAAAAAAACCATAATACTAAGATAGGGAATTTAGGTGAATTCTTATGCAAACAAGTAAGCAGTCACTGAAAATTGCTGGAAAGTGGGGTAGCATGAAGTGATGGTTCTATCATGCAACAAGTGGGGTAGTCCAAAATACATCTCCTAGAATATTCTTCACAACATGGGTTCTCACCAGTTTTGCTGCTGATCTGCTGACTCACTTCACTGGCATGAAGCAGTATTTTGGCTTACAATCGTTCTACCTTCCCCGGACTCTCTTCAGCTTTTCTGGCTCCTGTCTATGTGTGTTTACCTCCATGATGATGAGACAGTGGTTTCTTCAGGATACCCATGTGCTAAGACCCGTGGCAACAAGAATAGGTACAAATTTCAGTCTCATTGTTTGCTGTCAAGTTTATGCTCAAAGGGTTTCAACCTGCTCGCATATTCCCTTCCTGCCTGCCTGCCTGCCTGTGGACTTTAAGCTGCTCATAAAGATTATTTAACCAGATCCACACTAGCATAAGCCAAATTCTCTGTACCAAATAAGTGTGTGTGTGTGTGTGTGTGTGTGCATCTTTGTGTAGTGATTTTGCTTCTCTGGTTGTTTCTGACTGAGGAATATTAGTTTAAGTATCAGACAAAGTGGTTTGCAGCAATGTCAGATACACATGGGAGAGAGAGGTAATTCTAGAAGGTGAGATTTCAGGAGCCACATGAGAAATTTGAACTGAGAAATGAGTTGATTCACTTCAGCTTGACTGGGTATTGTTTTCAGCCCTGGAGATAAGCCAGTGAATACAACATGGTCCTGTCTTGGCATCAGTGAATGGGATCAATGGGAAACAAGGGTCATGTGTAACACAGGACATACCAGGTAACTGGTGATAGAGGAAAAGCTAAGTTAAAACGCCCAAAGAGTCACAAAATCAAAAGCTAAAAAATGATGACATGTACAAAACAAGACATAGATAACTTTCTTTTTCTCATAGTAAATTAAGGAGAAACCTGTCGTATTCTAGGACATGTATACCCCTAGCTTATATAAAACGTTGAGGTGCAAGAAAGGCATATTTTTTATCTTTTCTATCTGCTTACAGTACCAACCCTGCCATCTTCTGTAGAGTCCCTGGGTCATTAAAGAAGACTTAATGTTCTTTGGAGATGCACCTGATAATTGTCAGTCAGAAAAGGCAAGTAGAGGGCCATGGAAATGAATTAGCACCTCCTGTTACAAGGTTGCCACTTCTCAGTGGTTCTCTCTTTCGAGGCCACCTCTATACGCCAGGAATTCGATGGTTTGGAAGTTAGACTTATTAGGCTAACCTGGCCCACAGATAATCATAAACTACTATGAGAAAAGACTTTTTTTTTTTTTTTTTGGCAGAGTGAGACTCTTTCACCCAGGCTGGAGTTCAATGGCATGATCTCGGGCCACTACTACATTGCCTCCCGGGTTCAAGCAATGCTCATGCCTCAGCCTTCTAACTAGCTGGAATTACAGGTGTGCACCACCATGCCCAGCTACTTTTTGTATTTTTAGTAGAGACAGCATTTTGCCGTGTTGCCCAAGCTGATCTCAAACTCCCGGTCTCAAGTAATCCACCAGCCTCAGCAACCCAAAGTGCTGGGATTACAAACATGAGCCACTGAGCCCTGCCAAAAAAGACATTTTTAATTTGTCTAGATTCAGTAAACGAAAGGAGAGGTGTTCTTCCTGAAGTCATCCTCTCTGGAAGGCCCAGACATCTCATGGCCCATGAAAAACACGTAACATATTCTAGCTATAATTGTTGTTACGATTATAATTAAAACTTTAAGGAGTGGAAAGTTAGCATTTTCCACAAACATTTGAAGAATAAAAGAAGTGTAATAGAGTGGAAAGAATTTGCATTTTGAAATTTGAGAGAGAATGTGGTTCAAATGTTTGCTTTACATGACTTGGAGCCGTCGGGTCTTTCTTCAGTGAAAAGGGAATGCCACTGATGGTGTTGCAAAGACTTCAAGACCTACGGACTCTCCATGCATTGTAACACTTCATGTGGAGTTAACATTAAATGTATTTTTTTCCCTTTA